GGGTAGGTGTTAAATACCCAACCTGCCCGTGATATAATGTAAAATGTAGGCCTACGTGTTAGCTACATCGTTTTTATTCAAGGCTATGCACGAGGCAAAAACATTCACCATCTATCTCTGCAGTCATCACACAATTATACATTTTCTTGGCACAATCTGATGCACGTGCAAATTGACTGAGTCATTGAGTGATTGTTGTTGTTGTTGTTGTTGTTGTTGTACTGAGTGGCTGTAATAAATAGTGTTTTATTTGTCATCCTTGGCAATTTCCATTCCCCAGTTTAGTAGACACGGGAGCTGTCCAGTAGCAGTGGTGCTGAAATCAACCGCTGTGCAACGACATTGGCCCGATGGGCTTTTCAGAGCAATCCAGTGCTGAAATTATTCTGCCTCTAGATACATGCACCTGTCTGTTTACATGTCAGTTAATTCAAGGCTATTATAAGTGCAATTATTTACTACAGCCTTATGTGAACTAATGGTTGTAGCAGCTAGCAGGCTACTAGCCCTAGCCGTACAGTCCTCTTCAATGGAAGCTTAATCCGGAAGAGGTGACTGCAGTCTCAAATTGTAAAAACAGGTAACATAATATTGTGTTTTTCTTTTGTAGATTAACCCGCGGATCTGACTTTGGCTTGGTCTTATCATTCGTAAGTGTGGCACCTGAACAGAACAGCATCCCTGTACTTCTATTTTGAGTTAGCTAATTTTCCCCCTAACTTCGGACATTCTCTAGCAGTTGGACTAAATCACCTCGAGCTCAACATTGAAATGGACTGGAAAATAACGGTATGTTTTGCGACTAATGACACCCTTCTAGCTAGCTGACCACCGATTTTCAGTGCAATTTATGTAAGTTAAGTTAGGCTTTGAGAGTTTTCAAAAAATGTATATATGTACACATGTTGTGGAACACGCTGCATATTGTAAAATTCGACTGCCTGACCTTTTACCTCTGAAATATAGCTAACGGATTTTCTAATGTTGCTAGCTTAGTTGCTAAATGTTGATAGAACTGCTAAGTAAGCAAAAAGGAAAGAAATTGTAAGCATTAGATAATACATATCATGAAAACAGCGGAATGTTGTCAAGCTTTACCGTATCAAAATTGGAGTCCTCTAACGGAGGCGTTTTACACAATCTGCAAAAATGTATTTGGAACTTTGAACCATGAACTTTTTTTCACCTATCACGGTTGGCTATGTTTCATCTTACAACAGCTACATAGAGGCAGTATTTAGTCAAATGTTACAATGTATGCATCAATATTAAACTAATTGGGACACTAATTTTCATTACAGATAACATCAAACAAAAAACGTGGGTACACTTTCAGTTATTGTGAAAACTTTCATCACCTTTCAATGCCTTAGCTTTGAAATGTAAATGTTTATACATATTCAGATTGAGTTATCTTTCTAAAATGTGTATAGTATGCAAAGTTATTTAGCTACATGTATTAACACCACAGCATGGAGAAAGTCAAGAGGAAGCAGTGGAGTGAGGTGGACATGTTCCATGCCATGGAGGACTGCGGGGCAGGGAAGGCTATCTGCCAGGCTGCCAAGGTTAGGCATCTTTTGTTTTTAGGAGATTACCATGTGTATGTGAATTTTATCTGCTAGTAACAGTGTTGTTTTCTTATCTACCAAGGTGCATGGTGTACCTCGGCAGACCCTGGTGGACAGGCTGAGCGGCCGGGTGACCCATGGTTGTTGCAGTGGACCACCCACATTGCTTGCACCAGAGGATGAAAATTCTCTGGTGCAGTACTGTATCTACTGCGCCAGCCATGGGTTCCCCTTCACCAGACAGAGGCTGATGAAATACGCCGACAAAATACGCAGGTATTTGGTGTTTTATGTGTTTATGTATGTAGATTGGTGGACTGACTGTTCACAATGTGTGTGATGTAAATGTGGATGTGTAAGGTGATGCCAAAACAAACATTTTCATCCTGGATGGACAATTATATATTCTATTTTATTGTAGGTTTCGGCACCCAGGGGAAACAATCCCACCACTGGGGAAGAGGTGGTGGGAAATGTTCAGGAGGAGGCACAAGAACCTGAGCATGAGGAGGCCGGACACCCTGGACAGGGGGAGAGCTGAGTGTGCCACACATCCGACGATGGACACCTTCTTCACTTCTTATGAGAAGCACTTGGAGGAGAGTGGGTTGAGGGAGAAACCCAGACAAATCAATAACTGCGATGAGTCTGGGTTTCGTAGCGTCCAGAGCAGGCACAAAGTGCTGGCTCCCCGGGGCGCAAAAACACGTGTACCAGCAGGCTCCGGGGACCAAGGAGCACATCACAGTGCTGGCATGCTTCAACGCAGCTGGGGAGGACATCCCCCATTTATCATCTACCCCAAGTGTTTCCCCGGTGGCCACTACACACTGGGAGCCCCCCCCCCCCCCCCTCCAAGCCTTGTATGGACGGTCAAACAGTGGCTACATTGACGGGGACCTGTTCAGGAAGTGGTTTCAGCACTTCATTAAGCATGCAGTGAAGGAGCGCCCTCTCCTTCTCCTCTTCGATGGGCACAAGAGCCACATGGACCCGGAGGTGCTCGCGGCGGCACTAAGGGAAGGGGTTATAATTCTTTGTCTTCCACCACACTGCACCCATGTCCTGCAGCAGCTGGACATGGCATACTTTGGCCCTTTAAAGACTGAGTTCTCCAAGGTAGCTGGAGACCTTAGCCATTTTGACCACTCCTACATTGTAAACAAATCAGAATTTGCCAGAGTATTCCGCTACCCGTACCAGCGATGCAAGGACATGCGCTATGTGGTGGAAGGGTTTAAGAAGTGTGGCCTCTTCCCTTTTGACCCTTCAGCCATTGAAGGGTCCCATTTAATGCCGTCTCGGTCCCTACCGGGTCCCACCACCAACTCTCCTGGAACCAGCAGCACTGTGCTGTCCATCAGCACCTCCACCCCAGTGACCACAGGAGGACCCTCAGCCCCTGCTCCAGTCCCAGCCCCTGTTCCAGTCCCAGCCCTAGCTCTAGAAGAGAACCCCCTAATAGATGGGGGGCTGATAGCGAAGGACCTGGGGCACATCCTTACTGTCCTGAAGTATCGTCTGGACCAATACAGAAGACTCCCTGTAGTCGCCACATGCCTCACCGGTGAGGAATACACGCACCAGTGGCAGGAGAGGGGTGAGAAGGAGAGGGCCGAGGCAGAGGAGAAAGAGCGTTGGGCAGCCCTCAGAACACAGAGGGCACAGGAGAGGGCTGCCATGGATGAGACCATTGACGCCATCGCCTCTGCTGGACCACCTGCTGGAACCACTCCTGACAGCTGCATCACCAATACCAGTGCCTCCCAGTGTGCAACACCTGTAGGAGCCGCCGGAGTCCCCAGCTGCAGAAGAAGGCCACGTGCCTACTCTCCTGGCCACACCGTCGTCGGCCCCTCAACCCCACCATTACAAACACCAGCTCCTCCAAGCCATCGTCGGTGGTTTTGTCCACCACCACCACGATGCACACCACCCACCCTGTTTGTCACCACCAACACGGCCTCCTCTGGACCAACTGCCTCCTCCGTCTCCCCTGGTCACACCACCATAGCAGCCTCGTCTGGTGTCCCTGCCCCCTGCAATTTGAATACCGCCACCTCCACAGGTAAACACATGTTAAATTATGAAAAAATTACTGTTATCTGTTTTATAAAACAGCAATGTAAAAAAAAAAAAAATCTCTCTTTACATTTCTACAGTCCATAGCACCAGCCCTCAAGTCATCTCCACCTCCTCCAAAACTTCTGCAGCTTCCTCCAGAGGTATTGATGTAAAAAAGTTGAAAAGGGTTTTCATGCAACATGCTCTGTCTAACACTACTTTTTCTCAAACTGCAGCACAGAAAAGGAAGAGAAAAGCTCCACCAGTCACGCCACCCATGGCACCACTCTCAGGTACTTCATAATCTGTTTTTCTCTCTCTCTCAGTTGTATCAATTACTATTGTTGTTGAAGAACTTCTACATTTTGCAAAACCATATTAATAATTTTTTTAACAATTTTTTTAAATAATAGAAGACACCACCTGTTGTGCTCGCTGCGGGGAGCATGATCCGCCTGCAAGCTTCCCTCAGGAGTGTAGATCCGAGGTGCCATGGGTGTGCTGTGACTTCTGCCAGCACTGGTTCCACTGCAGGTGTGTGCAGTGGGATCCAGAGGTAGCAGTGGAGCTGGATTTTTATTGTGATTTTTGTGACAATATAGGGATGGAGGTCGAGATGTAATTGTTTGTTTTGTTTGTGTTCATATGAAATTATTTATTTGTACAAAAAAATAAATGTCTAAAATATAATATATTTATTCAACCCATCTTGTGTATTTCTTCCTTTACTTTCCAAGTGCATCTCTGCAACACAAACTCCAACAGTGTTTTCATTGTTTATGTCAATACACATAACTGAAATTAAAGTTTTATTTGATGTAAATTATTAATACTCATATTTGAGTATTCAACTGTTATCTACTTTCTCAAAACATAAGATTAATCTGTAAAACAAACGATGAGACATTATTTGGTTACAACACTGAATATGTTGGTGAAGAACCATTTCTTAAGAGTCCACAGGAGGGCACACCGGGCTACGCAATGAAAAGTTGACAGGCAAGTCATAATTTTTTACCGGAAGGCTAACCAACTAGTCAACTATCTAGTAAACATTTCGGATACGAGGTTGTCTCTTTTTTTTTTTTCTCTCTCTCTTTTTTCAACAAAATTAAATGGATATATCTTGTAATTGAACAAAATAGTAAGGTGGCCGATAACTGGGGACCGTATGCCGATAATACGGACTTATTTTTTTTTGTTAAACCGCTTATCAAAAAGCTGATAATAGTAGTATTTCCACTGAAATGTCAAACATGCTAATTGATAACCCGTTAGCTAACATTTTTACGACACCAATAATCACAAAACTTTGATGGCTTGATCACAAGATAACACTGTTGAAGGTAATATATTTCTTAAACACTGTTGAATATGCCGATAATACAGTAATTATCTCAAACATCTCAGGACAGGTTCTACATGTTCTGCCTCAGTTGTTTCTAAAACAGTTCTACCTCTTTCCATTTCCTGTCTCACCATTGCCAGACAGTGGAGATGTTTGAAATGGTCTTTGTTTACAGGAGACACCATGAGGAAGTGCAGTCCCTGGACGTTTCTCCCTATCATGTACTCTCTCTTCACAGCCGCTGGACTCTGGGTTGTGTAAGTTTCTTATTTTGTCAGATTTTTTCCAGATACTTTTAGCTATCTCACACACCATTTGGCTTTACAGCTGTGTGTGTGTGTGTGTGTGACTTTAACTTAAATGACTTTGGTTATAGGTATTTTATAGCTGTTGAAGATGAGAAGATAACACCCCTGAGTTCAGAATACAAGTAAGGTGGATTATAAATGAAAAAGTAGAAATATGTTATTCCAGTTATTATGACCATGCACCATTTCTAAATATTACATGTAATTTTTCACAGGCGATCTGGAACTAAATCCCCTCCATATATAAGGTACACAGCCTATGAGTACCAACCTAATTGGTTACTGATCTTTACCTAGGATTTGTGCTTCCTGTCAATACAATTGTCTCTCTCTCTCTCTCTTTCAGCATTGCAGGCAATGCTCCCCCAGCCAGCTGTGTATTTAGCCAGGTTATGAACCTGGCTGCCTTCGTAGGTAAGCCTGATGCATGTTCTCCTATCATTTGTTATACAAAGTTTACATGTACATGAAAACATGGTCAACATTGGACATTGTACCATAATAATGGCAGGATATGAGATGCAGGATAGAGACAAGAATAGAAACAACAGGAGCATATTATAAAATGGGGAAGTACTGTCTATTGATTTGGATGGATTTACAGTCAGCAGTTCCAGTGGCAGAACATGTAGTGCTCATTACAAACAGTTATTGATGGTGTTAGTATTGAGCTGAAACAAAGGCCTGCACACCCTGTGGGTCCCCAGGACCAGGAATGACATGTGGTCCTCTGTAGCTCAGCTGGTAAAGCACGGCGCTTGTAACGCCAAGGTAGTGGGTTCGATCCCCGGGACCACCCATACACAAAAATGTATGCATGCATGACTGTAAGTCGCTTTGGATAAAAGCGTCTGCTAAATGGCATATTATTTATTATTACACTGCTCCAAAAAATAAAGGGAACACTTAAACAACCCAATGTAACTCCAAGTCAAACACACTTCTGTGAAATCAAACTGTCCACTTAGGAAGCAACACTGATTGACAATACATTTCACATGCTGTTGCGCAAATGGAATAGACAACAGGTGGAAATTATAGGCAATTAGCAAGACACCCCCAATAAAGGAGTGGTTCTGCAGGTGGTGACCACAGACCACTTCTCAGTTCCTATGCTTCCTGGCTGATGTTTTGGTCACTTTTGAATGCTGGCGGTGCTTTCACTCTAGTGGTAGCATGAGACGGAGTCTACAACCCACACAAGTGGCTCAGGTAGTGCAGCTCATCCAGGATGGCACATCAATGCGAGCTGTGGCAAGAAGGTTTGCTGTGTCTGTCAGCGTAGTGTCCAGAGCATGGAGGCGCTACCAGGAGACAGGCCAGTACATCAGGAGACGTGGAGGAGGCCGTAGGAGGCCGTAGGAGGGCAACAACTTCGCCACTGGCGCCCTGTGCTCTTCACAGATGAAAGCAGGTTCACACTGAGCATGTGACAGACGTGACAGTGTCTGGAGACGCCGTGGAGAACGTTCTGCTGCCTGCAACATCCTCCAGCATGACCGGTTTGACGGTGGGTCAGTCATGGTGTGGGGTGGCATTTTTGGGGGGGCCGCACAGCCCTCCATGTGCTCGCCAGAGGTAGCCTGACTGCCATTAGGTACCGAGATGAGATCCTCAGACCCCTTGTGAGACCATATGCTGGTGCGGTTGGCCCTGGGTTCCTCCTAATGCAAGACAATGCTAGACCTCATGTGGCTGGAGTGTGTCAGCAGTTCCTGCAAGAGGAAGGCATTGATGCTATGGACTGGCCCGCCCGTTCCCCAGACCTGAATCCAATTGAGCACATCTGGGACATCATGTCTCGCTCCATCCACCAACGCCATGTTGCACCACAGACTGTCCAGGAGTTGGCGGATGCTTTAGTCCAGGTCTGGGAGGAGATCCCTCAGGAGACCATCCGCCACCTCATCAGGAGCATGCCCAGGCGTCGTAGGGAGGTCATACAGGCACGTGGAGGCCACACACACTACTGAGCCTCATTTTGACTTGTTTTAAGGACATTACATCAAAGTTGGATCAGCCTGTAGTGTGGTTTTCCACTTTAATTTTGAGGGTGACTCCAAATCCAGACCTCCATGGGTTGATAAATTTGATTTCCATTGATAATTTTTGTGTGATTTTGTTGTCAGCACATTCAACTATGTAAAGAAAAAAGTATTTAATAAGATTATTTCATTCATTCAGATCTAGGATGTGTTATTTTAGTGTTCCCTTTATTTTTTTGAGCAGTGTATTATAAAGAGACTACCAGACCAGAGAGAGATCCCTTATGGGTCTTCTCCTTTCAGGTTTCATCATTGGTGTCCTCAGATACCTGCAGCTGAAGCCCCGGGTCCACAAACCCTGGCTCAATATTGGCAGTCTGGTGGCCCTGTCCCTGGCCTGCTTCGGCATGACCTTGGTGGGAAACTTCCAGGTAGGAGTCACTGGCTCCGTCCAGGAAAAAAAACCTTCAGCCCCTAGACACTTCCCCTAGTCCCTAACCCAGCGTTTCTCAAACTCGGTCCCCCCCCAAGGGGTGCACATTTTGTTTTTTGCCCTAGCACTACACAGCTTATTCAAATAATCAACTAATCATCAAGCTTTGACTATTTGAATCAGCTGTGTAGTACTAGGGCAAAAACCTAAATGTGCACCCCTTGGGGTCCCCAGGACTGAGTTTGGGAAACGCTGCCCTAACCCCTAGACCAGGGCTCTCCAACCCTGTTCCTGGAGAGCTACCCTCCTGTATGTTTTCACTCCAACCCTGTTCCTGGACAGCTACCCTCCTGTATGTTTTCACTCCAACCCTGTTCCTGGAGAGCTACCCTCCTGTATGTTTTCACTCCAACCCCAGTTGTAACTAACCTGATTCAGTTTATCAGGTGCGCTAAATTAGGGTTGGCGCACCTGCCCTAGACTGTCCCTGGCCTACTTCGTAGGAGTCACTAGTCTGACACAATCCCTAGCCCCAAAATGTTTGGGAACCCCTGATAAAATCTACAAAAACCTCAACTTGGTTTGCAGCGATAATCAGATGTTTGTCAGAGGGTGTAGCTGGGTCACAGTAATGAAATGAAACAGATAAGAGCAATGTCTGTTGTCTGTCTGTAATGTGTCTGGTCCAGCTGTCAAATGACGAGGAGCTCCACAACATTGGGACGTCCATGACGTTTGGCCTGGGGACGTTGTTCTGCTGGGTGCAATCTGTCATCACCCTGAAGGTCAACCTGAGGAACGAGGGCCGGAGGGCAGGCATCCCTCGCTTCCTGCTGTCAGGGGCCGTCACCGCCTGCATGCTGCTCTGTATCCTTCCTCTGGCTTGCACCAGGGACTCACTCATGTCACTTTACAGACGCTCTTAAACAAAGCGACTTACGGTATGTGGGCTGGATACAGCTGTAGTGGTGGAAACCTTTGTCACTTATTCAGTCATCGTAGATCAGTGTTTACCACGAAGAAGGAAGCTAGGAATTACGCATTTTGAAAGTACGTTTTGTAAAGTGTTTTACCCTTAACCCCCCCGGTTCAGACTTTGCCCTGATGGCGCAACGTCTTCACATGCATGCGGCGCGGGCGCAGTGGGCGCTGGTCATGTTCTTCCTGGGCTTCCTCGCCACCTTTGCCATTGAGTTCAGACACTACCACTTCGAGATCGTCTGCACCGATGACCGCGACCCGCCTCTCAGCCTGTCAGAAACCTTCTCCGAGGTGTCAGAGTACCAGTCTGACCAGCTATAGCTTGGCTCTGGAGTACTACAAAACAGTTAGGTTAGGTTGCCTGTGTTTGTCAGTTGGGGGAAATGTACAAATGAACATGATATTTGTAAGGGTCAAGGAATCCAGTGGGTCTGTTAGTTACTGAAGAAGAGTTAGTCAACCACTACTGCATGTCTGCCTGTTTAAACGCAATAACCTGTGAACGACTGCGTCTTTCTACTACTATTGTACGTTGAGGTGATCTTTCAAAAGCAACAAACTTTCCATAAGCACAAAGAAATCATTACCTTTGTCATCTCATAAACAGTAACAGGGGTGTTTGCTAAAAGTTGCTAAACGGTTTCATTGAAGATGGATGTGCATGACTGTTTATCATGTAGCGGTGAGTTGTAGAAGGATAGATAACTCATATCTCAGATTGATAGTGACACTATGTCACGAGAATTTCTATCTCAATGTTTCAAACTGAACTCTTATATTACTCAATCTGTATCCCAGAGGTTGTAAATCTCTAATAAACAGTCTCCCAGTTTACAATTATCAGGTCTTTATTCAGAGAGCGCTCTGCCCCAATCGTGCAAAGCCATTCTATATATACTCACACACACATACATGGTTATTCCGTTTTACTATATGTTGTAAGCCTCGCTCTTCCCCTCCCTGGGTGGAAACCTCTGGTTTCAAAACCTATTTCCTGTTCATTGGTTCCATGTCGCACCCTGCTGGCATAACTGCACAATAACACATTTCACACAGTGCATACTTATGATTCTAATACATTCCACACAATCCTACAGTTTTAAGGGTGGAATCATTTAGTCATAATCTTTAAACATTCAAATTCTTCTATCACACTACCCCACTGATCTTCCTTTCAGATGAATACAGCCAAATCCTCAATTGATTGTGTGATGGGAGTCATCACCTCTCCTATTTGGAGTCTTCTCATTCTACCCAACTTCATCTACTGACAGAGGTATTTTGCTGCGTTCTATTTCCTGTCCGTCTGTCTACCTCCCTCTATTTTCAACCTGAATTAAGAAAGACAACAGTTTGTGATGAAGACGATATCAGCCTCTCTGTGAAAATGAGTAGTACAGTAGTATTATCATCCAGGTACAATGATGCCATTTTGAACCATATCACTTGCTCCCATTAAACACAAGTCATGGGGATCTTTTTCAGTGTTCTCTCCATTTCACATAACTTAGTACAACACTAGGCTTTATCATTACCATTCGAGCATAACTGACAAATGCATCTGTGTTGTACTGCTGTTTGTTAGAACATTAAATGATATTTTACAATAAAACCTGCCTTTGCATTCTGATTAATGCACTTGTACAGGATTGGGCTATACTCAACATGTTTCAATATGTGACTCACAATACAAACAAAAACACAGTACAGAAATGTAGCACTCAAAACTTCCAAGAGCATTTTAACCATATTACAGTTAAAGAAATACAAAGTGATCAACTTAAATAGTTTTTATTTAAAATGCTTTAAAAAAGGTGAAAGAAACCCTGTCATGTCCCTTAAATGTGCAGTCTGCAGACTGGTACGACTTCGTGCTTGTTGCCCGTTACCCACCCTGTGCATAGCCTGGATATCCGACTGTTCCTGTGTTCAACAACGCTACACTGGCTAGAGCAGTAACAGACTGGCACCCAGGCTCCCCTCTTAGTGCACTCCCAAAGTCCTTTGATCAATGGCCCGAACCTCCCATTACCCTCCCACAAACAGTTCTCGTGAGTGGCCCGGTTCCATTTCGGTTCCACCTGGCTCTCCCAATAGGTCTAGAGGAGCGTCCATCACGTTGCTTTTACCATTCCAGTCCTTTTAACAGGGCCAGTGAGTGAGTGTGTTCTCCCACTCTCTGGTTGTGTTCCGATTCTCTACCCTTCTCCCTGAAGTGTGCAATCATTACTCCCCCTCATGGATTTAAAAACAATGCAAAGGTGTAAAATATATGGTGAAAACTCCCATGTGTAGACCAATCAATGTTTTTTTATATCCACAAGGGGGAGTCAATGATTATACACTTTGGGGAGGAGAAGGGAAAAATCGGAAGGCAGCATCTGTACCCGCTCCCCTCTCCTCCAGTGTTAAGCGCTGCCCGTCACTTCCAGTTGGCTGAAGGTTGTAATGAGGTTATAGTGAGACCTTTCCTCCTCTGTCAACTCCATGTTCCCTGGCCGCACCACCACAGCCACGTTCACACCAGCATCCTCCGCTGCCTTGGCCTCTGCAGGGAGGAACAAAACACACTACTGTAATAGCCTCCTCTCAGTCACCCATGTTCCCTGAGCTACACTAGGATCCCACTATAGCAGGCTCACTCGAGTCCCAGTCCCGGTGTAACAGAGGCCCTAACCCTTGGTTGTAAGTTAACATTCTACACAACAAAGGAAGGTAGACCATGTGACATGGAAGCCTCATGGTGCTTGTGGTCCCAGCCCCTGATGCAACTGTGTGGCTCTCTATGCGTTAGCGCACCGCTACACTAACATGATGGCATCTGCATTCCCTGGAGGAGGGCCTTGCTGTAGTGCAGTGCAGCACAGGGCATTAATACAGTACTAATTTAACTGCGATACAACAGCCTTTCCAAATGCTATTCTGGATTAGTGCAGGGCTAGCTAGCTACATGACTTTGGATATCAAAATCTGGTCAATGTATTATTTATCTTCCTTCATGTTAACCAGTTGGTTATTGAGAACATGTGTGTACATAAAACAGTCCATAATATAGTCAAATAAATAAAAGTTCAAATATGCCTATTTGATATTCTAAAGCAGCAGCTGTACTGGCCTAACGCAGGCTGGGTTGTTGTAGTTCAGGACAAGCCCTTTGACTAGCTAGTGGAATTCAGAGTCATAGCTAAGGTTGGTAAGGCTTCTGAGGGTGATCCTGCTAGGTAGAAAGGCTCTGGCTCACTCTGATTTATGTAAATGACATTCAGTGTTAAACTAATCCGCCTGCTACAACACCTACATTTTAGTCATTTAGCAGACGCTCTTATCCAGAGCGACTTTACAGTTAGTGAGTGCATACATTTTCATACTGGCCCCCCGTGGGAAACGAACCCACAACCCTGGCGTTGCAAGCGCCATGCTCTACCAACTGAGCTACAGGGGACTTACCTCTACAGGGGACTTACCTCGTGTGACATCTGTCAGGAACATGATCTCTTCAGGCGGGCAGCCCATTCTCTCTGCAATCCTCTCATAGCTTTTACTTTCTACTTTAGTGCCTATGTTGGTGTCGAAGTGGCCATTAAATAGCTGAAAGGATAGAGAAAATCTGAATTTAGCTGGGAGTGTATTACAATGTAGATTAGTGTGTGTGTTCTAAACAGTTTATAAAGAGAAGACTTCCTTACATCTAGTACGTCTCCCTCTACAGAGTATCCAAACAGTAGTTTCTGAGCCTCCACACTGCCAGAGGAGTAGATATAAACCTTCAGGCCCTGCCGTCTCCACCTCCTAATGGACGGTACCACGTCCTGGTACACCCTGGTTCACACACACACACACACACACACACACACACACACACACACACACACACCTTAGTAATCCTGTATTTTCATCGGGATGAGTCATCGGGTTTGAAGGTGACATTTGGAAGAAATGCAACAGTACAATAGGACTTGATCCTCCCACAGCCGGTTTAGAAGCCACCACCTTGAGCACAATTGCATAGGGCTCCACATCCTGTAGGCCTACATTCATGCAGGGAAGAATATCATCTTGCAATCTGTACACACATTTCTCTGATTTATGTTAAACATGAAGTGATGTCTATGGGAGATTTGCACTAAGATCGAGTAAGGATTCATCCCTCCTACAGTAGTACCCTCAAACAGTAGTACCCTCAGACAGTACACTTTAGTCATTTTTAGCAGATGCTCTTAGGTTAAGTGCCTTTCTCAAGGGCACATCGACAGATTTTTCACCTAGTTGGCTCTGGGCTTTGAACCAGCGACCTTTCGGTTACTGGCCCAACACTCTTAACCGCTAGGCTACCTGCCGCCAGTAACCTCATACATCCATCATACAGTCCCATCCGTCCAATAGAAGGAACACTCTCAGCTACTTACTCGCCTTTGATTCTCCCGGCAGCGTAGGCCACCCTCCACATGTGTCCCTGCAGCTGTTTCAGAGCTGTGGTCTTCCTGTCCGAAGCCATCTGCCACAGCACGTTGTCCACCACCTCCCGGATGGCTTTCTCCTCGTCCGTGTGCCCAGACTGGTCCAGGGAGTGCTGCGCACATGCTCGGTGCAGACGCAGGTCCTCCTCAACCTAACATGATGACCGGGTCAATCAGGGTCATGTTCATTAGGAAGCAGGGTTCGAATTACACATTGACAACTCTTGGGGTTGTCCAACGTATATATATTGACTAACATTTATGGGGCTTGTTTGGTGCATTGATATTTCAAGGCTGGCCTCTGCACTCCTCTCCATCAACCACCCCATCAAGGATGGAGACAGACAGCTCCTGGCAGACAGGAAACTGTTCATTACAGTCAATTAGATATTATGGAAATCACCATGCTATAATGAGAACTGATCACTGTTCTGCCTTCTCCAATTCAGTAAGCTCATTGGAGGAGGAGAGATCTCATAGCTCCATTCACAGACCTCCTGGCTGCATCTCTTATTGAGGAACCTAATAATGTTACATCATTTCCTGTAATCGGTGTGTCATTGATAGCATGCCATGAACTATGTCAGTGTCCCTCAACCCCCTGGTTCTGGTCCCTCAGATGACCGATCTCTTCAGATTTCAAGTGCTAGTTTTGATTTAAGGCAAGATGTCCTCAAAAGGAGTTAAAGCACCTTAGCTTGCCAGTCCCTGGCGCAAAAAAGATGCGTCCTGTAGTAACCAGTGAATATGAGTGCAGCTCTGAAAGCTCTCATCTCCTGCACTCACATCATCCCATATGACAGCCTGCAGGCTTCCAGGATGCAGGGCACTTCTATGGCTGGTAGCTAATCAAATACACCCATTATCTGTGACCTACATAGCTATAAATTTGGGCTAAACCCAAACCCACTGGATTACAGGAAACGATGAAAACACAGGAAATCTAAAATCCATGTAGGCCTAGCTCTTTAGAAGAAAATAAAAACATAGTTTATATATTTACCACAGTAAATCACTGTAGTTAGAACAGACGACAATAATAGTTAGCTACACGAGATGAGGTTGCTATGGCTGTTGACACCCAACTCTGAACAGCAGTCGTTTAATGTATTAATGTGGGGCATACCACACAAGCAATCATTAACTGGTTCAACAAATCAAAACTTGCATGTTATCAACCAAAATTAATGCATGGGTGTTGCATATTCTGTCTGAAATTGTGTGCAGTCACTGCTAACTGGTCATCATTGTCCACAGTTTGCAGCAAACCAGTTACCTGTTTCTTAAGGAGATGCACGTCTTGTTTGCATTCATCTTCTTCCCAGTGCGCCGACAGATACTCCTCGAGATTATCTTTGATGTATGGGAATAAAATGTCCTACAGTAGAGAAACAGCACCGTTAGCATGTAGCTAGCTAGCAGTCAAACCATCAGTCTACAAAAAAAACACACCACAAAAGCCATGCACTGTCTTGGTTTGTTGTCCTGGCTACCTTTACAAACGTTATTGGTGTCGTGGTTCCTTCAATATCCAGCAAAAGTGCGGTAGTGTTTTCAGGGATTGAAACAGTGGCCATTTTCCTGTCTGAAGCCGTCTAGTTAGTAGCCAACTGTTAGTTTAGCTAGCTAACGTTACCCGGCTACCCAGGCTGAAGAAAAGCTATCAACCCCAAGAGAGGACTACCAATTCCTTTCCAAATCTTTTTTTAGGTTAATTTTCAATTAGCTATTGTTGTGTAGAGCAGACTCGTCAGCACACATAAAGCAGCCAGACCTATCGAACGTGCTCAACAAGAGCGTGCAGTTTCCAGGAAGGCGTGATGACGACTACGAGGGTAAAGCACCATGGAATGCTACACATAAAATATTAAACGACAAAAGCAAAAATTCAGCTAGGTTAAGAAAGTAAAAAAGGACACGGTGTGCTGCAGTATCATAACATTGCTCATCTCGCTACAGTAGTTTGATTTACTGGTGGGTGGGGCACAGGCATGGTCCATGCGCATTCGAATGTCCTATTCCACATATTCTAGAATGTGTGAAGCGTTGTATAACCATATCAAGAGATTCTCTGCTCTGGCGTAGCTAATTACAAGGCCAGTGTTTGGGCACAACATGTGTACAGTGCTTTCAATATCTTTGGCTGGCACTGTATACGTGTGACCGGTTTGAAATGGCTAACTAGTTAGCGGTGTGCGCTAGTAACGCGTAAAAAAAAAAAAAAAATAGCTAGTAGCGGTTCAATCGGTGACGTCACTCACGCTGAGCTGTTGAAGTAGTTTCCCTTGCTCAGCAAGGGCCGCGGCTTTTGTGGAGCGATAGGCAACGATGCTTCGAGGGTGACTGTCTGAAAAATAAACCTAAATGGCGACAGAGCCACATGCTTTTGCACAGATATCATACTGCTCCTGGATAAATATTACAGTATCTGACTGAAGTGTTTGCAGAGATGTTTGAAACCTCTGTTCAGTCTCTTTTGGTGTTTGTTGATAATAACAATGGAAATAATATGCAGCATTTCGTTTTGATGCAACAAAAAGGTAATTTACTGTGTTGTTTTTAATTTTCAAACAACATCTTAGAATGAGGAAATAGTAAAATCAGGAATTTTAGAATAAATTGCCTTTGGTAAAATAAATCAATATTAAACTCAGGAAGTTGTTTGTAATGATGATGATCTAGGATCAGCTTTAACATTCCCAGTCAGTCATTTTACGTAAAAAGTGTTTGTAGGAAAGACCACAGCGCCTCCCCCCACCTCAAACAAACCACATCAGCTGCGTCACTCCGCGCCCTTGATGTCAGCCATTTTACATAGCAATCGCGACTGAATTCGTCCCAAAAAGTATCTCGCAATCAGGCCTAAATATACATTTATATTCATAGTTAACAACAGGGTGACGTTCGAAAATGGAGACAGAAGGCCAAGTTGACTTCAGCACAGACGAGTTTCCAGAGGGCTCCAAGATAAATGCAAGCAAAAACCAGCAGGATGACGGGTACGCGGCTTGACGTTAGCCTAGCTAGCTATGTTCAGCAAACTAGCTAGTGTTCTTTTTTTCTAGCTGGAGACAAGTTACGTTATATTTTATTCAAACGTAGTGAGTTATTGGAGTGGTAACACGCCAACGTTTATTAGATTACTAGCTAACGTTAGCCATTCCCTGTTGTGATCATGCATGCATAGCTAACTAGCTAACGTTAGCAAACTAACCGGCGTCATGTCAGTCAGGCCAAGTTCCCTACGTGGGCGAACAGGGTTGGCTATGGGCTGTGAAACATGTTATCAAGTTGTCACCCCGTTATTTGTAGCTAGGTAGTTTATCATCAGATTGGTGTAGTGTTGATGGTCGTGTTGGTTATAGTCGCTCTTTTTTTCTCATGCACTACGTTAACGTAACTACTGGTTTTTCGAATCCTGACAGATAGAACAACAATAACTACACCTGTCCTGTACATACACTCAGTTGCCACCCAGGCTAGAATCAGAAGTGTGTTGTAGCTACTTAGATAAAGTTCACTGATCTAGCTGTTGCCTTTATAGCCAACCGTTCTAGACAGTTTGAATCATTTAGGCCTAATCAGCTTGCAGGTGACAACAGCTTGACCTAAAGTAAATTAGTCTTAGCTAGTGACTCAGGTTGTTAGGGATGTAACAATAAGGACATAGTTATGACTGTTTGATATCGACTGCATTTGTCTCCTTGATTCTCCATTCACAGCAAGATGTTCATTGGAGGGCTCAGTTGGGACACCAGCAAAACAGACCTCACGGATTACCTGTCAAAGTTTGGAGAGGTTCTGGACTGCACCATCAAAACAGACCTGATGACGGGCCGGTCCCGGGGCTTCGGCTTTGTTCTCTTCAGAGACTCAGAGAGCGTAGACCGGGTAAGCACTAGAACAGACTCACTGAGCAGAGAGCGTAGACGTGGTAAACACTAGAACAGACTCACTGAGCAGAGAGTAGACGGTGTAAACACTAGAACAGACTCACTGAGCACAGAGCGTAAACAGGGTAAGCATTAGATCGGAGTCACTGAGCAGAGAGTGTAGACGGGGTAAACACTAGAACAGACTCGCAGAGTGTGTAGATGGGGTAAACACTAGAACAGTGTGTAGACGGGGTAAACACTAGAACAGTGTGTAGACGGGGTAAACACTAGAACAGTGTGTAGACGGGGTAAACACTAGAACAGTGTGTAGACGGGGTAAACACTAGAACAGTGTGTAGACGGGGTAAACACGAGAACAGAGCAGAGTGTGTAGACGGGGTAAACACGAGAACAGAGCAGAGTGTGTAGACGGCAGAGCAGTGTGTGTAGACGGGGTAAACACTAGAACAGACTCACAGAGGACAGGGCAGGCTGCCTCTTGTCTTGCTCTCTTAATTCTGAACTAAATAGTTTCAAGACATATGTAGTTGGCATCCACTCACATCACTTGATCACACACACCCTGTTTCACTGACACATTGTCCTGTGTGCAGGTGTTGGAGCTGAAGGAGCACAAGCTGGACGGGAAGCTGATCGATCCAAAGAGGGCCAAAGCCATGAAGGGGAAGGAACCGCCCAAGAAGGTTTTCGTCGGAGGCCTCAGCCCAGACACCCCAGAGGAGGAGATCAGGGAATACTTTGGCGCTTTTGGAGATGTAAGAGTGAGAGAATGCTTGCACTGTCAACGTATTCATGTTTTATTCTACGTTTTTAGATATGGTAGACGCACACTTTTAGAAAGCTGTATGTCCACTGAGCGAGTGTTGGGGCAATGGAGCTAGAGCTGATGCTATTGTATGATAATCTATCCTCTTCACATGGTACAAAGACTGGGAGATTTGCAGAATGTTATGATTACTGTCTTCATAGCCTCTAACTGAGAGAAACGTTGTTGTTTGCAGATTGACAGCATCGAGCTTCCCATGGACACCAAAACCAACGAGCGACGTGGGTTCTGCTTCGTGACCTACTGTGAGGAGACTCCTGTCCAGAAGCTGTTAGAGTGCAGATACCACCAAGTTGGGAGTGGAAAGGTAGCTGAAATCCACTTATTCAGAATGACCATTTGAACGCTGTTACACATCTTGCGCTGATAGGCAAAGCTATTCTTTCTATGCTATTTAACCAACTTAGTTTAGACAGCCATTTTGAAGAAGAATTTTGGCAGTCAAATAACATGTGACTGTAGGTACTTAAAGAAAGTGTCATCACTGTTTTCCACAAGTTTCTTGGTTAATGGGCTGATTTTCTCTGCAGTGTGAAATCAAAGTGGCCCAGCCCAAAGAAGTGTACAGACAGCAGCAGCAACACAGAGGAGAGAGGGGAGGCTACGAAGGAGGGAGAGGAAGCGGAGGATACAGGGGCCGGGGACGAGGAGGTACAGCTAGCCTATGACACTGAAGAATGCACATCAGATTTTTTAAAATTTTTATTCTTCCAACAAGGGGATTTCTTGTGTGGCATTTGACACATGCAACAATGACAGTACTGACACCTGAAAAGGGCATGCATTACAGTACATTGAAAAGAAAATCAAGACATACATGTCTTTAAAACTACAATATAGACTTGTCACACTGAACCTCTTTGTCTCTGTGCAGGTCAGAGTAACTACAACCAAGGTTACAACGGCTACTACGGCCAGAACTATGGTAGCTACGGCAATGGATACAACCAGGGCTACAATGGCTACGCAGGCTATGACTACTCTGGCTACAACTATAATAGTTATGGTTATGGACAGGGATACGACGACTACAATGGTAAGCTACACTATTGATGCCAACTATCGAAACAAGCAGTGCCTTTCAGCCCCCAACAACTCCTCATGTACTTCTAGCTAAGACAACAACAGGTGGAAAAAAGTATCCTTGTATGTACTCAATAGCTCTGGAAAAAAATAAAACAGATGTCTGTAATGCTGCCTGCCTTGGGTCTCTTTGCTCTGGTGCATGTTTGTGAGGGGTCTCCATATCCAGGCAATGCACTTTGTTATTTTACAAGTAACACTTGCAACATTAATGATCATTCAGCCCATTACATTTGTATTGCACACACTTCTGAGAGTACTTGTAGTTAAATTCCTGGGTATGTAAAGTAAAACACAGCTAAGCTGTATAGAGTTTTTGGTACATATGTCTTGACACATGATTGTGCATCTCAATACTGATACAAAAACATTCAATTTGAAAGTCCAAGCAAAAATAACACAACTAGGTACACAAACACTGCAGACTACATCCTACAGATTATTTGTGATTACTGATGCCATTTACCCCAAAAAAGGAATGTGAACTTGAAAAAACTCCCATGCACCTTGACTCCCATGTCAACTAAAAACGCCATCGATAAAACCTTGATAGGAATTCCTTCTGCTCCGTTTTTGTGAAGTTATCCTGTGACACTCAAATCTTCCTGACCTCTAACCCTTGACCTTCCCATAGGCCAGCAGAGCAGCTATGGGAAGGCCTCTCGAGAGGTCACAACCCACCAGAACAACTACCAGCCTTACTGAGCTGATCTGATCCAACAAGACCTGCTTAGACTTCTGGTAAGACCACACTCCCACCTTAGGCCTGACTTAAAAAACTTAAACTTAAAGATCAATAGACAAAACAATTACTCTAAAATCTATCATGAGAGAAAGCAAGTGGTTACTATTACGATGCACACCCCATTTTGACATAAATCTAAAACGTAATGTCTATAGATCTTTAATTGCAAAAATGCTTGTGTAGCGGTTTGACTTTTTATTAAGCTCTCCAGAAAAAACGTAAGCGTTTTTCTGTAGATTCTCCTTTTTTCCCTTGCTTTTTAACAGGTGTTCATAAGGAAATAACATAAGAGACTTGATAGCATTGTTAACAGGTAAAGTACTGCTAAGGGTACAGAGTAAGGACCCATCCTTAGTTTTCCTTTTCCTAACTCTGATGTTGTACCTTGTTTGTACCTGCCAGCGGGGACTTCATTGCAGGCCGTGTGTCGCCTGATCACGACAATCTCTGGGCGACGCACATAGCGGGCAGAGAGCACGGCATGCACAAGAAAACGCTGTCCTGTGGTATGGTCTCTTCACACTTCCTGTAACCAGCGATAAACAAAAAGAAACATAAGAGAGAAAAAGGAAAAATTATGCTTTAACGATTTGTCTGAAATTGATTTTTTTACAGGATATTAATATGAAAGTGTAAAAATGTACTTTGACTTGTATTTGTGTATTCTCTTAATTTTAGTGGTCTTGTTTCAGTTCTGGACCTTCAGTGTTTTTGTTTTTTCTATAATGAAACCCTTTCTTAAATTGCTAAAACTCATAATGATTGCTTTTTCTTTATAGCCCTTAGAGAACTTCACTTGATAAACACCAAAACCCTTTTTTTTTTTTTTACTTAGGTGTTAAAGATCATATGTAAACCAGCTTTATGATGCCATAAAAAGCTGACAACTCAAAATATTCTATGAGCTATGTGTGTATCTGGCTTGAAATTTCCACCAAATTTGTTACCTTATAGTTTAGATATGGTCACATTTGGGCTTGCTCCTTAATGGTGAAATTGACCCACCAATTCATTGGAGCTGAAGCTTTTGCTGGCCAGTGAGCTGTTACAGAACCTTGGTGAAGCTGTGAGTTCTACATATGATCTTTAAAACGGAATGGAGAAAAATAAACTATTAATAGTTTAAAGTTGACGACACAAGCAGAAGTTAAACAGTGAAACATGGACGTGCAAGGTTCACTGTGCCCTGCAGAGCTCCAGAGTTGGTAACATCTACAGTGTTGTGTTGTGTCCTTGTTTGCAGGCAGGGCTGGCTGGAGAATGACCCTGTACCCAGGTGGAAGCTTTGGGGGCTGAATCCTATCCTGTCCTCAGATCATGTTTTAAACACCAGACCATCATTTCGTTGTCCTCCTCTTCCTGAGTTGAAGCTGACATGCAGTGTGTCTGACTTTGTAAATAGCGAGGTTGCTGCTTTTTGGTTCCAGTCCCCCCTTCCCTTCATCGTGTAGGTCTAGGTTTCATTTCATCGTGATTGAATGTGTTCTTATTACCTTGATTTTCAACATGTCCTGCTTTTGTTTTAAGCTTGGATTTTTCTGCAGTTTTTTTGGATAAAGGGATTATTAAAGAGGGTACAAAACTGACATGAACTTGACTTTGTAGTACTTGATATTCTATTTTGCATTTTCATAACACCAAACTGTGGCTGCCGCGTCAATCTTTGACTTTAACATTTAGGCCTGTAGGTACAACTTCAGCCTAGGTGCAGTAATCCTTACACAAATAACTTGATTCACACAACAATGTACTAAGAGTTTGTTTATCGTGACATGAGAATAAACCCTGCCTTATTTTTCTAGATCAGTTTAGAGATATGTCTGCGTATGGAACCTGTCAAATTCAGTCAGTGCGAGAAAGATCACACCCTGTTGTCATACAAACCTGACGGTTATATAATACTGCAGTGCAATACGTTTCAAAGCATAGCAAAAGTTTGTTCTATTTGAGAATTGCTTTTAATAATCTAGAAATACACCTCCCTGAAGCTAGTCCCACCATTTTATACATGACGCCATTATGTTTACGTAGCTGGCTAGCAAAATAGCAAGCTGCCAACAGCCGGTATCTTGCAAACATATACTAGATAAAGTAGTAGAGCTGGTAATTGTCAGCGAAACCAGAGTGATTGGTCATCTGTTGTGACTATTTGTTTTATGACTAGTGTCTGGTCTTTAGCAACCTACTAACCTGGGGCAAAATAGAACGAGTCCCATTTCGAACGCAAACAAGACAGACGAGAGACAGTCAGCAGTTGCAGTACGCTCGCACTAGCACGCAACATCGACAGCAGCCAGCTGATTAGCTAGCTACCGTTAGCTAGATAGCAATTTGTGCAACATCAAAAATGTCGGAGGACCTTGAAACCGGCGAAGATCCAACTGTGGTGAAAATGGAGGAGGACGGAGAGGCTAGCACCGAAGAACAGACGCCGACGGTTACAGAGGGAGGCCAGGCAGGAGAATCCGAGGGATCAAAGATTGATGCCAGCAAAAACGAAGAGGATGAGGGGTGAGTGAGACCGCTAACTAGCTAGCCTAACGTTAGATAACTGTCGTTCCCTATATGGCTAGCTAGTTAGCTCTGCTTTGAAGAAGGGACAAGTAGCTAATTGTTATAATTTGGACATTTCCTAGCGTCGTTGGCAAAGTTAAATGAGGAATAACTTGAGTTGAATGCCAGTACCTAAATGTTAGACAGGGTGCTGATGATGGAGGGATGGATGATCCCTTCGGGCGGGTCAGTCAGGTCAGCAGCATCACTGTCTCTCCCTGTTGTTGTGGATGTCATCCTTCAGCTCTCAGGCGACCAGAACCTTCCATTTAGCTTCCATAGGCAGATGGTGCTTGCTGGATTTAGAGTTGTGAATGTGAGAAATGGATGTAGAAATATGATACTGCTAGGCAAATGCTGAGGTGCCCTAGGGATGCTGTCTCTGGGTAAGTTTTAGTGACGACCTGGGAGATTGCTGTTAGTTAAATCATCCACCACAAACATACAGCTTGTAAAAGCTACAGCATTATCAAATGATGATTTGCTAATTGTCATAATCATAGCTATAATGATAACATTGACCCTAAACTAGGACGTTGCTATGTTCCCTCTCTAAAGGCTTTGACTCCTTCTTGCCTACTGATGGGTGAAAGGAAAGCAGATGAGAAAAGGAAAATATTAGAGAGAATTGGAACACAGTCGCAGTCCTTGTGTTGCGAATTTGTATGCAGAATTTAAATGTCTGTGTATCTGTCTCTAAATGCAGGAAAATGTTTGTTGGTGGTCTGAGCTGGGACACAACAAAGAAGGATTTGAAGGATTACTTCTCCAAGTTTGGGGAGGTGGTAGACTGCACCCTGAAGCTTGACCCCATGACAGGCCGATCCCGGGGGTTCGGCTTTGTCCTGTTTAAAGCAGCTAACAGCGTTGATAAGGTATTCCTGATTGTGTTCAATGGTATTGATAATGCTGGATGATTGTGATATATTATCTCTATCTCTTATATAGTGTGAATATGGCATTACATTTACATTTGAGTCATTTAGCAGACGCTGTTATCCAGAGTGACTTACAGGAGCAATTAGGGTTAAGTGCCTTGCTCAAGGGCACATCAACAGATTTTTCACCTAGTCGGCTCAGGGATTCGGATTCGAACCAGCAATGTTTTGGTTACTGTCCCAACACTCTTAACCACTATGGCATGGCAGCAATGGGATGGAAATCTTTTCTGCTCTATCAGTTTCTTTATTATAATTATGTTTTGTCTGTGGCTTGCCTCTGGTAGGTGGTCTTACAGAAGGACCACAAGCTGAATGGGAAGGTGATCGACCCTAAGAAGGCCAAGGCCATGAAGAACAAGGAGCCCATCAGAAAGGTCTTTGTAGGAGGTCTTTCTCCAGACACTCCAGAGGAGAAGATCAGAGAATACTTTGGTGCCTTTGGAGAGGTAGGCTACTACAGTATATATTTTTAAATGTTACGTTCTCAGATGTTCTGTAGAGTTTGCTAATCTGGGTGCCATTCTGAATGATCGGATCAGACCAAACTAGTTATCGGAACGAGCTGATATTGAGCGTTCATTTCCTCACAGTCTATGTGTGCAAGTCGACAAGCCTTCTAAACATTGAAACCTTGCTGAATAAGAGGTTATTCTATTCCTGTGTTGTCTGTGTTAACAGGTGGAGTCCATTGAGCTCCCCATGGAAACAAAAACCAACAAGAGACGAGGCTTCTGCTTCATCACCTTCAAAGAGGAGGAGAGAGTGAAGAAGATCATGGAGAAAAAGTACCATAATATAGGATTAAGCAAGGTACAGTACATGTCTTACCCTGCTAATACTTCCCACAGAATGTTTGGTAGTTCAAAACAAGTTTTACTTTGCCTTCAATGCATGTTTTTCAGATGGCATTTCCTTACCAGGTCCAGTTGGTGATCTATTAGTATTATTATTAGTACTATTAATGAGAATGCACTGCAGTGTAATGTCAGTCAGAGTTTAAAGCATGAATATGGAAATGTTTTATTCCTGTCTTCAGTGTGAGATTAAGGTAGCCATGTCCAAGGAGCAGTACCAGCAGCAGCACTGGGGGGGAGGAGGCAGAGGGGGATACCCCTCCAGGCCTCCAGGCAGACAGGGTAAGTTGGCTGGATAGAATTGGTAGTTTCCTGCACCAATATTTTGCATATAGCGAGTAATACTGTATTACATTTGAGTAATGATATGTATGATGTTGTTTGTTAAATCATATGTTTTTGTGGTCAATTCAATAATACCAAATGGCCAATCTGTTGTATTTCAGGACCCAATCAGAATTGGAACCAGGGATATGGCAACTACTGGAACCAAGGTTACGGCAACAACTACGGCAATTATGGCTACAACAACCAAGGCTACGGTGGCTATGATTACTCTGGTTACAACAACTATTACGGCGGATATGGTGACTACAGCAGTATGTCATATTTTTGGTGAAAGCACACCTTTAAGAGAATGATGTACTTATTAAGTATGTAAATAACATGTATGGATAATTTGACAATAATGCACTTTTTTTATCTTTAATCTTCAACTTCTTGCTTTGTATTGATTAATTATATGGTTTTAGTATTTGAGTGAAATTCCATCATGCTGTACATGCTGTAAATAAATAAATAAAAAATGACATTAACCTCTACGGGATCGGTGTCCCGTATACGGACGGTTGAGCTAATGTGCGCTAATGTGATTAGCATGACTGTTGTAAGTAACAGCACACTTTCCAGGACATAGACATGTCTTATATGGGCAGAAAGCTTAAATTCTTGTTAATCTAACTGCACTGTCCAATTTACAGTAGCTATTACAGTGAAAAAATGCCATGCTATTGTTTGAGGAGAGTGCACAACAACAAAAAACGTATCACGGCAACTGGTTTGATACATTCACCTCTGAAGGTAAATAATGTTATTACATCCCCGGGACCACCCATACGTAAAAATTTATGCGCACATGACTGTAAGTCGCTTTGGATAAAAGCGTCTGCTAAATGGCTTATTATTATTATTATTCAGTAATCTTGCTCTGATTTGTCATCCTAAGGGTCCCAGAGATAAAATGTAGCATAGTTTAGTTTGATGAAATCCATTTTTATATTCAAATGTAGGAACTGGGTTCTACAGTTTGAACCCCTGCTGTCTCTGGCTCCACACCCACCCCGCCCGGCCATCTAGATGTGTGAAAGTTAGTGTATAAGCAAATGATCCATCATGCATATCATTTTTGTATGCTCTCTATAGTTATGTACTTAAATGTATCAATTGACCAACTCGGCACATTTGGGCAGGCTTGATACAAAATAGTCCAGTATTGCAATGCTTCACTGGATCAATCTGATACTTTGCACACACTGCTGTCATCTAGTGGCCAAAATCTAAATTGCGCCTAAACTGCAATATTATATATTGTGGTCTTTCTCTTGCATTTCAAAGATGATGGAACAACAACAAAATTAGAAAACGCATGTTTTTTTTGTTTATATTATGTTTTACCAGATCTAATGTGTTATATTCTCCTACATTAATTTCACACTTCCACAAACTTCAAAGTGTTTCCTTTCAAATGGTATCAAGAATATGCATATCCTTGCTTCAGGTCCTGAGCTACAGGCAGTTAGATTTGGGTATGTCCTTTTAGGCGAAAATTGAAAAAAGGGTCCGATCCTTAAGAGGTTAAAGCCAACAATATTGTTAAAAATGCATTAACTTTATTCATTGTTTTCCGTTTCCTAAATTACTAAATATTCAACACAACAAATGAAATATGTAATGAAAATCACAGATTTTGAATATGTACTATCTTATCTAAGAGTTAGAACTATCATATATTCATATAATGATGTTTTCTCTCTGTGTGTGTGTTTGTGTCCAATCAGCAGACCAGCAGGGTGGTTACGGGAAGTCCCCCAGGCGAGGTGGTCACCAAAACAATTACAAGCCGTATTGATGTAACAGAAGTTCCACACACAGGTATGTTTTATAAGTCACCTACAACAAACTTAGATAAAGTGCAATGTATCTACCTCTGTATAATAATAATAAACCCTCATAATGTTTTTCTCTTTATAGTTTTTCACAGCACCTGAAAAGTGCTTTACAGTAGTCTTAACATAGAGGCTACAGTCTTTTTGTGGTGAATTATTTCTGCTGCCTCTTATGAGCCATTTTGTAACTGTAAAGTTAACAGGTATAGTACTACTATTACCACAGTAAAATGGATACCAAGAGTTAAGGATTTACAAGGGAAAAGAGAGAGAAAATAATAATGTTGTCTCCTAACTCTGACATATACCTTGTTTGTACCTGCCAGCGGAGCTTCCTTGCAGGCCATGAGCTGACCTCCCCGGTACTCTCTGGCCCGCTCAATGCGGACCGGGTACGAGAGGCGTACGCTCTCGAATGCTGCCATTTGGTATGGTCTTCCAACATCCTGTCTCAGCATTGTAAATAAAAACTAAGTGGGACATGTCCGGCTTTGTTCACTTCTTTATTTTCATTTGTTTGATATCTGTAATGTGCTTTTTTGTAATGTAAAAATTAAATACAACTTATGTAATTTTAATGCAATTTTTTACAGGCCCTTACTCCCCTGCCAAGTAATGGTAAATTACAACATGATACTGAGAAAATAACTATTTACTTTTCAAAGGACACGGCTTTCTCTGGACTTTCCAGTATCTTTTTCATTCCTAATCATACCTGTAATTCTTGCTTTTCTTTATTTAGCGCTTGTAGCAGTAATAGCCAGTAGTCCATGAGCTAAAACCTGGTTTGTACTTGGATGCTACTGTGTTGGAGAAGTGCGATATTTTTGTACTTGTATTGTTTGCTTGTGTTACTGACAGCGGTGGGAAAGCTTCTCCTTTAAACGTTAATTTCCTCTAACAAAATTCTCTTTTTAACCTTTTGAGAAAGTATCAAAGTATCTCTACGTTTCCTGGAAATTTGCATGTAATGCTTTCTTTAATGTGTGTCTTTTTGACCAATTGAAGGCTTTACTTATTGGTTTTGTATTTGGGCTTTGAACTCTTTAATTTGTCACACTTCAGGATTTCTAGCTTATGGACTAACTTCTTTTTAATTCTTAATTGTAAAACATATTTTTATCTATTGCATTATGTTTTCTTAATGGAAATCGTAAAGACGGGATTCCTTTGACATTTAGTTATAGCCCTTCTAGTGTGCAGTAACCTTCATCATTAACAGTTTGACTTGTTTTGTCTTTTTCAGGATGGAAGATTGAAGGATATCTTCTGAAGGAGCGTTGGCAGACGAAGTGACAGGTTTCAGTCAAGAGTTTCCTTTATTATGGACGGTTTGAGACAGGACAAAGTCAGAGTATTCAGTTGATCTACGTACATTGAATTTATGTTCAGTGTTGTATTTTGTTGTTTCTTGCAAAGCTTTTAAAAGTTTCCTATTCGTCTTGTATTGAGTTGTACTGTATGAAAGGAATATATGCAGAATTATATTTAAGAGTTGATTAGTCACTTACGCTCAGTGTTATCCCTTTTGTTAAATGTGTGTTATATTCTACAGTGAGGGAAAAAAGTATTTGATCCCCTGCTGATTTTGTACGTTTGCCCACTGACAAAGAAATGATCAGTCTATAATTTTAATGATAGGTTTATTTGAACAGTAAGCGACAGAATAACAATAAAATAATCCCGAAAAACGCATGTCAAAAATGTTATAAATTGATTTGCATTTTAATGAGGGAAATAAGTATTTGACCCCCTCTCAATCAGAAAGATTTCTGTCTCCCAGGTGTCTTTTATACAGGTAACAGGCTGAGATTAGGAGCACACTCTTAAAGGGAGTGCTCCTAATCTCAGTTTGTTACCTGTATAAAAGACACCTGTCCACAGAATCAATCAATCAGATTCCAAACTCTCCGCCAAGACCAAAGAGCTCTCCAAGGATGTCAGGGACAAGATTGTAGACCTACACAAGGCTGGAATGGGCTACAAGGCCATCGCCAAGCAGCTTGGTGAGCAGGTGACAACAGTTGGTGCGATTATTCGCAAATGGAAGAAACACAAAAGAACTGTCAATCTCCCTCGGCATGGGGCTCCATCCAATTTCTCACCTTGTGGAGTTGCAATGATCATGAGAACTGTGAGGAATCAGCCCAGAACTACACGGGAGGATCTTGTCAATGATCTCAAGGCAGCTGGGACCATAGTCACCAAGAAAACAATTGGTAACACACTACGCCGTGAAGGATTGAAATCCTGCAGCGCCCGCAAGGTCCCCCTGCTCAAGAAAGCACATATACAGGGCCGTCTGAAGTTTGCCAATGAACATCTGAATGATTCAGAGGAGAACTGGGTGAAAGTGTTGTGGTCAGATGAGACCAAAATCTAGCTTTTTGGCATCAACTCAACTCGCTGTGTTTGGAGGAGGAGGAATGCTGCCTATGACCCCAAGAATACCATCCCCACCTTCAAACATGGAGGTGGAAACATTATGCTTTGGGGGTGTTTTTCTGCTAAGGGGACAGGACAACTTCACCGCATCAAAGGGACGATGGACGGGGCCATGTACCGTCAAATCTTGGGTGAGAACCTCCTTCCCTCAGCCAGGGCATTGAAAATCGGTTGTGGATGGGTATTCCAGCATGACAATGACCCAAAACACAAGGCCAAGGCAACAAAGGAGTGGCTCAAGAAGCACATTAAGGTCCTGGAGTGGCCTAGCCAGTCTCCAGTCCTTAATCCCATAGAAAATCTGTGGAGGGAGCTGAAGGTTCGAGTTGCCAAACGTCAGCCTCGAAACCTTAATGACTTGGAGAAGATCTGCAAAGAGGAGTGGAACAAAATCCCTCCTGAGATGTGTGCAAACCCGGTGGCCAACTACAAGAAATGTCTGACCTCTGTGATTGCCAACAAGGGTTTTGCCACCAAGTACTAAGTTATGTTTTGCAGAGGGGTCAAATACTTATTTCCCTCATTAAAATGCAAATCAATTTATAACATTTTTGACATGCGTTTTTCGGGATTATTTTATTGTTATTCTGTCGCTTACTGTTCAAATAAACCTATCATTAAAATTATAGACTGATCATTTCTTTGTCAGTGGGCAAACGTACAAAATCAGCAGGGGATCAAATACTTTTTTCCCTCACTGTATGTTCTATGTAAATTGCTTTTTGTTAAGGCATTAATTACCATTATTGAAACCCGATTAGGATATACTTTATTGTCCCGAGGTGGAAATTTGTCTTCGATAAATCAAATTGGATTGGTTAGGGCTAGAAAATATATTATTTATATAGAGCAAATACAAAGAGGCCCTTAAATAAATCTATATCCTTTATCGTAGTTATCACAAGTAAACATTTTGTTAATATATATTTGACATGGTACACAGGAATATAGAACATTCAGAAATCATCAAAACATTTAAATAAAAAACGTATCTGAAATTGAAATGGATTGTTTTTTTTTGTTTTTTTACAGTGTGAACTGTTTGTTACATTAAGCTTTACCCTTGGACAGTATTATATTGCTAGTGGAGTGTAACTATACTGTAATGAAGTGAACTATTATGGATGCCAGAGGTGGCCACCATTTTTAAATCAGCAATCAGCAGTTGAAACAATAACAAAGCATTCTCCCTGTGTCGTTAAAGGTTGAGGGATGGGGTTGGAGAAATGTAACTACTCAAATTCATAGACTGAGCGATGGATGGAAGGACTGACCATCCATGATAGAACATTTGTAGTTTAAACCATGTTTTGAGGCTATATAGTGTTTGTTTACAAACATTGGAGTAAAACAAGCTTATATTTTGGGTTCTGATGGGGTACCACAGTGGAACTAAGATCATGAGGCATTTATACGTTATATTTCTTCAAGAATCAATGGGTACATATCATTAATTTATAAATCTGAAAATTGATGTAGCAACTGCAGATTGCCTCTTTAAGCACAAATGTAAGGAATTCAATTTAAGGAATTAAATGCACCCTAATGCTGTGGGAAGAGGCCCCTTACCTGTAATGTTAGTGGTGAAACATTTACAAAAATTATGAAATGTATGTTATTAAACATCAAATTAACAGATTGATATAATCATAAACAAATTCCAGGATGCTTATTTACAGAAGTCAATGTGAAATGTTATATTTCGTCACGTTACTATACACAATCCACCTTGAGCCTTGGGGAGAAGACCAAAATGAAACCTCAGTTTCATCAAATTCAAAACATGACTGTTGGTGATCGTGGTTCATCCTATTACTTTTAGCGATAATGTAGTACTGTAAGAGTCTGTGAGACGATTTAACTGGGGATGACACCTGTAGCAAACAGGATGATGAGGATGAGGATGATCAGAACTATCACTCCAATGATGATCATCATCTTGGCGTTCTTCCACCAGTACTTCCGGGCTACCCGCGTGGACGTCCTCTGAAAGGAGTCTGCCTGAAAATTTGAGGATTTATGGAAGGTTAAGTTAAATATAATTGGGTTTCAAGCAAGTTTAAGCAGAAACAGACAGGCAAACCAGAAGCATATTGGCTGTTCAATGCCTTTCTCTAGACTAGAGGAACCACCACTTATCACAACACCAGGATAAAGGATTAAAAAACACTTGTCTTTCTCTTATAATACTTACGGTTGCTTGTAGGTCATGTGTCTTGTCAACCAAGTCATCTAACCTCTCTCCCCTCTCCAGTACTTTGTTGATGTTGTCTTTGAGTATAACTTTAACTTCATTGACTTGGCCCTGCACTGAGTCCATCTTAGAGGAGGCTGGCTGTTGAGAGCTGTAGTCAGCCTACAGAGAGGAAGAGGAGAGAATCGGCTCTGAATATGATTAACATATTAGGTATGACATACTGTAACCATAGTTTTCAGAATAACATGACACTTTACTACTGTATGATAGATATTTTTATGATCCATTTCACCACAGATCATCACACAGACAGAAGAGAATGGAAAACCTGTGTTTGTCCAGTGTGGAAATGTTAATCTGTCTTCACAAAAAAAAACAGGAGGACTCATCAATATCAATTCACATAAATATAGAAGCCAATATACAGGGCAGAATGCAATTCAATAACACCAGGATATACAGTATAATTTGAACATTTCTGAAAGCAGGCCAAGCAAATATTGCTTTATCGCTCAGCCTCAGCCATTCCTTTAGTGACACACTTCACTTCCTACAAAACAGCTAGTCACATGTAAATAACTATTCACAGTCTATCCTCCCTGACCCTGTTCCTTTAACTACCACTGCTCTACTCACCATAGTGCTTATAGTTCAGATCATTAGTGTGCCCTCAAGGCATATGACTGCCTCACATTCACAGCTTCCACTGAACAAAAGTAAATACACTTACCATGTCAGAACAGTATAACAAAATGAATATATCCACAAAACACAGAATTACTCCACTTCAGAGGGTAAATGTTTCACAAAGATGTGTTATCCAGACGGACTACTAGCATAGTAAATAAAGTAGAACAAGTAAAGTGTGCTTCATACAGCTGTAGGTTGAGACACGGAGGCGAACAGGCAGGTACAGAGACGGGTTCCACACAGCGCTGCCCCTCCCTGTAGTTACACATTAACTACTGCTGCTGCACTGGAGCTCTACCATTGGCCCGACGTTAGTCACTCATCTCTTTACATAGAACTAGGATTAGTAGAATTGAGATTGCCCCCCCCCCCCCCCGGATGTTCATGGTCCACCCAATATTGCACATAAAGGACTTGAGATAGAAACAAGATTCTGAGAAATGACATGACAAGCTGATCTTCTGAATTTGAATGCCCATTCTACCTATTCTGATTCTATGTGTCTTTAGGACATACCATCAGCTGTCCTAGCACCTGATGCAGGTCAGCGCTGGGCGAAGGTCACTTTCTTTATCAGGGTGCTGCGGATCTGGAAGGCAATTAAAAGTGAAGCAGTTTGCTACATAAGCTACATCTAATTTCCTAAGACTATTAAATAGTTTACCAATAGCTACCCAGACTATCTGCATTGACCCTTTATGCTCTGACTCTTTTGATTCATCAAATGAAATGTTATTTGTCACATGCGCTGAATACAACAGGTGTAGACTTTATCGTGAAATGCCTACTTACAAGCCCTTAACCAACAATGCAGTTCAAGAAATCATACTCTGCTGCTACTGTTTACTATCTGTCACTTTATTCATAGTTATATGCACATCGACTCGGCACTGGTACTTCCTGTACTGTATAGCCAAGTTATCGTTCCTCATTGTGTATCTATTATTACTTTTATTATTAAGTGTTTTACGTTAATATTATTTCTCTATTTTCTTTATCTCTGCATTGTTGGGAAGCATTTCACTGTTAGTCCACACCTGTTGTTTACGAAGTATGTGACGAATTACATTTGATTTTATTTCCATGGCTGGCCATGTTGTTCAAACCTCCAAACATGAGGTTAGTACCAGGAAGAGGAGGGCATACACTTTTTTTATGGAAATAACTCCACTATTGTTATTTTAAAGAGACAGATCTTTCCTCCCTCAAAGCAGAGTCTAAATGTTTTGACATGTTTGAGTGTTATTGTATTTCATAGTATAATTTAGTAACTTTTCTTCTGTAAATAGAGTATAACTTGAAGAAAATAATAAACAATTTCACATGAAATGTTCCCCTTTCTTTGGCCATCAAACAGTACGAAAAGACTACTGTAGGTATGTGTAGCCCATATGATATCCCCTTGTTTTGTGGTGAAATCTTTCCTTGTAACTCTATCTAATCCAGTACAGTATAAGGTTGTAAATGGACCTCGTGAAGGAATTGATGGGCCCTCCTGGACTCATACTGTAGCTGAGCTCTGTGAGGCAGATGTTGGCCACTCCATCCTCTTGACAGGATGTGGTATCTGAACCTGATTGCCAGCACATGAAATTACATTTGTAATACTGTAGTGTAGTAAAAGTTCTCTCACCCATCCAATGGAATGGTTATTCGATACAGAGCTCCAAACGGCAGTTGTGTTAGGATAAATTCACCAAAAGTATATTAAAGTATATATTTGGCTATCAATGAGTATGGCTAAGCTATTATCCATAGTGCCAGTGAATTGAAGTTGAACATCGACAAATGCATCAGTTTAATTAGGCCTAAATGTGCAATAAAAAGTATTGTGCCTATCTATAGTTTATTTAATGAAACCCTGGCTGGCTGTTGATGTCCTAGGTCAGGGCTCTCCAATCCTGTTCCTGGAGAACTACCTTACTGTAGGTTTTTGGTCCAACCCTAGTTGTAACTAACCTGATTCAGTTTATCAACCAGCTAATTATCTAATCAGATGCGCTAGATTAGGTTGGAGTGAAAACCTACAGGATGGTAGCTCCCCACGAACAGGGTTGATCGCAAAGTAGGGCATCGCTAAACTTTTTGGAAATGGCTAGTTCACTTTCTCATCCATAAATGCATCTCAAGTGCAAATACGGTTCAGCAGCTAAAATCAGCAGGATGGGGGGCATTGTTATTAAGAAGGACGTCTACCACTTCATCAATTTAAATAATATGAGGACACCTATACATTTGGCAGTCAAGCACGAGTTATCAGTGTAGACTATTATCGTCTAAACGTTGAAATATCTTCACGCCTAGAATAAAACCTCCAGGCTTCCACCATAAGAGTCAATTACATTTGAAAAAATAAAGAATTACAGGGGACAGTTTGGAAAACTATTCCTGTGTGAATCGTCCTCTGGACGTAACCAACGTCTCTAGTAATACCCGTCCAAATAGGGCTATAACATGGCAACGAATAATGTTTTCAGTGTAGAGTGCGCCGCATCATCCATGGGATCCGCCAAGGCTGCACAGCAGGAATATCACTGAAATATTCTAGTTCCTACACATCACCTTCTATATTCAAACAGGATAGACCTTGTATAGACTAAGTTGATGAGCAAATGGGCAGCATCATGCACATGGCAGTCCTCTAGAACGCAAACGTACTCTTCCTCCTTCTTCGTCTTCTTCTTCAGTGGGGTTTATCGGCGGTTGGCATCCAACGTTAAGGTGCATTACCGCCACCTACTCTACTGGAGTGTGGGCCAGAGACGGATAAACTAAATCCTACCTGCCAGCCCCGTTGGTCTTAAAAAAGATAACAAAATATTTGAGACTATATCTAATGACGTTCTACTCAATATACTCTTGAAACTAATTTTCTGTATCCCCTTCTCCCTCATACTAGATCTCATCCTCTCTCTTTCCCTCTGATACTGCCCACACTCTAGCAATACATGCTCCACAGTCTCTGTTTCCTGACAATAATCACACTTTCCTGTTGGATGCATTCCTATCACATTTAATGTCTCATTCAACTGGCTGTGTCCCACCCTTAATCTAGTAAAAATAGCCTCCTCTCTTCTGTCCCTTCGTGCCGTCCTCCCCGACTTTCCTCTGTACTTGAAATAAATGCCTTCCCTTATTATCTCTATTCCACTGCTCCTGCCATCTCTGCACCATCACTGTATATATCAATATTTTTGCCTCTGCCTTGCTCATTGAAACTTCAACATCAACATCCCCACTACTAAGTGCTTGTTTAGCCTGTTCATCTACTGCCTCGTTCCCATGTGGTCTTCCTAGTAGGACTCTGCAATAATGAAGTGGTGTGTACATGTGCGCGCATCCGTTTCAGCGTGTTTTGGGAGTCGAGCAAGAGTCGACTCCTTCAACTCCAACCACAAGAGTCGGAGTCGACTCCAAAAATCCTGGAGTCGTGCACCACTATACATTTCCAGTGGGCGGCGCTAGATCAGAAGCAAATCTTTCGCCATACAGCGAATTTAAAACATTGTCGCCTACTGTAGATTAATCATTAATCGATACGATAGTAAGTAGCCTATATATAGCGACTGTTTCAGTTTAAACTCAAATTCAACACGCTTTTGATTGTAGCACTTGTTCAACCGACCAACAGAAGATGAATCCCAGCGGCAACAGGTCCAGTGGGAAAACATTCCTTTTTACATCGGAGTCAGTTGGAGAGGGACATTCTGGTTGGTGGTTACTTTTCATGCGCATGTAGGCTACATTTTATGTAATGTTGTAGTATGAGTGTAGCACCTTTAGCCTACTGAACAGTCACACGTCGTTTTACTCGTGCATGACGTGCTCTTTCTCTGTTATGGATGTCAGTTTGAGGGCTAATAACAGCATTGCATACTGCTAAGCATGGATAGTAGTGTCTGTTTTCATTTGTATTATCGGATCGTGCTTACTGTTTAAACTTGGACACTCTTTTCACGCCACTTCGATACAGTTACGACCGGAAGTGATTTTCGTAGGAGGTTATCGAGCATTATTGCTAACCTTTTTCCTAACCTTAATCTAATTCTCCTAACCTGCAACGAAAAAGTCACTTCCGGTCGTAGCTGTATCCAAGTGGCTTGAAACGAGTGTTTCTCGTGTAAACTTTCACTTATACATGCGCATTTGCAGTAGTAAGCTCGCGAGACTTCCGGATGGTTGTACGAGGTTACATAAACTGCAGAGTTTTGGAAAATGTCTGTCCACCCACTTTAGTCTGGGTCCATGCTATCCGGGAACCTTGGGACGTCCCTACCCTAAATCCTAACCTTAACCCTACACTTACCCATACCCAGCCTTAACCATTTTAAATTTCAACTTCAATGGGCTAGGGATGTCCCAAGGATCCCGGATAGCACGGACCATTCAGTCTGGGGCAGATTCTCGCCAGCTTGTAGTCCTAAAAACCACGAGTTAGGCATGGCTCGTTGGTCAAAACCTATGGGGAAACGAATGAGGGTTTTTTGTATAAATGCGGAAAATAAGGTCTGAGGTGAATACATGCTTAAGAGATCTTATACTTTTTGTTCTATGAGATATCATTCAGTTAACATGACCTTTATGAATTATGAAGCCTTTATGTGCTTGTTTTGAAATTCCCCAAAACTGACGTTAGCTGATTACTGTAAACAAACACCTGCTATGCGCTGTGAATATTCTATTAGGGGGGTTTACTTCCAGGTATGAAGAAAATGAAAAATGGGATAAATGTTGTTGTTATTTGTTTTCTGTTAGTCAATGCCCAATTTGGACACCATAAACGAGAAAACAAGTTGATATCCAATTTTAACTAGAAAAATGATAAAACTATTAATTTCCTCTTGTTTGGCCTTGACAAGATAAAAGGAAATAGGAATTATCCATTAGCACACTGACCTTACAGATGTAGTATCTTAATTTGATCACACTTTTTGTTGCTGAGAATTTGCAAACTTGTAGTGTATTTGAATTTTGATTTGCCCTAATGAAAAATGTATGCAAACCAAATCTCGCGTAGGGCCCCCCAAAAGGCTAGAGTCGGCCCTGCTCTATAGAAAGCAATACTAATAGAGAGAAACAGTAATGGTGTCTTTTTGTAGGCATTAGCTGAGGCTCCGCCATGGCTCGTTGGTCAAAGCCTATGGGGAAATTAATGGATTTTTTTGGAGGGGTTTTGGATTAATGTTGAAAATAAGGTCTGTGGTAAGCACAGGCTTAAGAGATCTTATACGTTTTGATGAGCTAATCTTCATCAGCTATTGTCCCTTTTTTGTGCATTTTGAAGCATTTATTCAATCAGAACAAGCACATAAAGGCTTCATAATTCATAAAGGTCATGTTAACTGACTGATATGATCTCATAGAACAAAACATATAAGATCTCCTAAGCCTGTGTTAACCTCAGACCTTATTTTTGGTGTTTATCCCAAAACCCCATTCTTTCCCAATTAATTTCCACCATAGGAATGGTTGAACGAACCAGAGGTAACTCATTTCTGGTTTTTAGGACTACAAACTGGCGAGCTCTCAAGTAGCTTTGTATGAATGCAAATTACTTTACATTGATTACTGTCACACGGAATATATATTTTTTTAGCACTTATGGTTGATAAATATTGATATCCTATCATTTTTCCCCAGACAAAATGTGTGACCAAATAAGTGATGCTGTCCTTGATGCATACCTAACTCTGGACCCTGACTCCAAAGTGGCCTGTGGTAAGTTTGTCCAGTTTTACATTCTCTAAAGCTCTTATATGTTAATAGACAAACAAGACTTTAACAATAGTTATTTTTTATTACCTTTCACCTCAACATTACTGAACTATTTGTGCACTAGAAACTGTTACGAAGACGGGTATGATCATGCTGTGTGGAGAGGTCACCTCCAAGGCTGTAGTGGACCTCGTGGATGTGGTCAGGAAAACCGTTAAGAAGATTGGTTACGATCACTCCTCCAAAGGTACAGTCACTCACAGAGCAGATTTAGCCTCAGCCAGGGTTACCCACCAGTTCATGCATTTAGCAGTGGTACATCTTTGCAAATACAGTAAATTGGTTTTGAGTGATAAGTGAAAGCGATTTAGATGCAGAGCCGCTGTGTCTTCCAGGGTTTGACAATAAGACGCAACTGTGTAACTTTCTGCCTCTATTTGACTACTGTCTCCTACACTACATGGTTTGACTTACAATGTAGGATCTTAATTTGAGCCAAGTTGCTACAGCAAGAAAATAGTCCTGCAGCAACAAGAAATGTGAATTATTATGTGGATTATAATTAATGGACATTTTTGTAGGTGTTGATACATTTTTCATTAGGGCAAATCAAAATTCAAATACACTACAAGTTTACAAATTCTCAGCAACAAAAAGTGTGATCAAATTAAGATACTACATCTGTAAGGTCAGTGTGCTAATGGATAATTCCTATTTCCTTTTATCTTGTCAAGGCCAAACAAGAGGAAATTAATAGTTTTATGATTTTTCTAGTTAAAATTGGATATCAACTTGTTTTCTCGTTTATGGTGTCCAAATTGGGCATTGAGTAACAGAAAACAAATAACAACAACATTTATCCCATTTTTCATTTTCTTCATACCTGGAAGTAAACGCCCCCTAATAGAATATTCAAAGCGCATAGCAGGTGTTTGTTTACAGTCTGGGTTGAGCTGCAGTGTCGGCAGCTGAGTGCTGGGAACGAACAAAATCTGAATACAAGCTTTGGGTGGATAGGCAATGGCATGGTGAGAGAGATGGGGTTGTTTGGGAGGGAGTTGAGTCCCTCTGTGGTTCTTTCTGCTATCCCACCTTGGTTTCTCCCTCAACCAGTGATATATCTAGGGTTGCTTGAGAGGGTAAGAGATGTTGAGGAAGGAGTAGATTCAGTTGTAAGTTAACATTTTAAGAACACAATACTATGCTTTCTTGAATATATTCACAGATGGATCTAAGGACCCTAAAACAGGCAGGACATGTGCAGCTTTTAGTGTTCCTGAGTTTAAGGTGGCAGTGACAAAAAGAGCAACGGATCATTTATCTGTTTACACAATGGAGATGCTGGCCATACTATTGGCTGCAGAGTGAGTGGAGGAGGTGAGGCCAGACAGGGTAGACATCTGCTCTGACTCCATTGCAGCACTGATGAGCTTAAATTAATTTGTGTCTCAGAGCAGACAAGATGTATTGTATGAGGTTTTGCAGTGCTTGTATAGGGTGAGACAGATGGGGGTATTTGTGATGTTCCTCTGAGTACCAGCTCATGTGGGATTAGAGGGGAATGAGGAGGTGGATGTTATTGCCAAGCAGGCTCTTAAACATCCTAATGTTGAGATGGAATTGTCAATCAGTAAAGCAGAAGCCAATGGGTTAATAAGAACAGTGGTTAACAACAAATGGCAAGAGTTGTGGAACAGGGAGAGAAAGGGAAGACCCCTGTATAAGATCCAGGAAAAGGTGGGGGCAGGGAGGTCCTCAGGCCGAGAGAGAAGGGAGGAAAGTGTAATCACAAGGCTGAGACTGGAACACACAAGGCTAGATAGTACATTGAAATTGGTGGGGAAACATCCGACTGGGAGGTGTGATCATAGTCAGGAGGAGATGGAGACCGTGGAACATGTTCTATTTCAGTGACAGAAATATGTGAAGGAAAGGGCGTGATTGTTATTAGATTTGAGGAGTAATGGGGTTAAGTGGACTCCTAGGGAAATCTTCAGGGGATGTAGTATTTAATTATGTATTTCGTTTCCTTAGGGAGACGAGATTATTGGGTAGGATTTAGACCTTCACTGTCTCTGGTCCACACTCCAGTCCAGTTGGTGGCGGTAATGCACCTTAATGTTGGTTGCCAACCACCATATAAAATCCACAGGAGAAGGAGTAGAGCACAGCACAGCACAGCACAGCACCCGTCAAAGGAGTCATCTCAGGGGTGACGACGGATGTTCAGGTTGAATACCTGGAGAGAATTCCTGGTGTGGTTGGTGCCCGGCGACTGACCCGCTTGGTGAATGGGGAAAACTAAGAAAGTCTGTTGGTCCTGTTATTTTTTGATAAAGAGCAAATACCGACGCATGTGAAGCTTGGTTATGTAAGATACGCCGTAAGAGCTTTCGACCACAAACCACTCCAGTGTAAGAATTGTAAAGGATTTTGCCATGTTTTAAGTGTGTGCAGACGAACAGAGTATACTGAAGAACGGTGTGTAGAAGGACGACAGTGTTGCAATTGTGGTGGGGATCATGATCCTGAGTTCCTGGAGTGTCCTGTAAGGGTGAAGGAAATTGAGGTGGCAAAAGTTAGAGCGGTCAATCGAATCGCCTATGCGGAGGCGATCCAAATAATTGAGAAAACAAGTGATGCTAGTGAAGATATGGTAGTGGATACACCACAGCCTGTAGTAAATGTTTGCTGCCAGACAAAAGATACCCAGTGTGTTAAAAAGGTGGATTTTGTGGTGTTCATGCCACAGCTATAAACTGTACAGCAGAAGTCTCAAAGAAGTCAAAGAAACTGGACATTATTGTGGCTGTGGCATAAACGTTTTTGGGACTCAAGGATTTTACATCTGAAGACATGCAAGGGGTACCGGAAGACCCGCTCTCCCAGGTTCCCCTTGAGCCTGTGAAGGGATCAGATCTGTTTTATTTATTTATTTTTAACAGAAAATATGTTTGGTTTATTTTATTTAATTTTTGGTAGTTCCGTTTTTGGGGGGAATCCTGTTTCCATCCCGTATAGTAGGTGGCGGCATGCACATTAAAATGTGTGATCGCCAAGATACCATAGAAGGAGTTTCAGCAGCACAGAGAAAGCATTATACAATTCAGTGACAGCCAGGAAGATAACAATTGTAATGTTAGCTAAGATGCTTAACTTATCATGAAGTTAGCATGCCAATAGAACGAACTCTGAAAAAGGTTTACTTGCACCACCTGGCTAGCTAGCATTAGCCGGCTAACGTTACTGCTGGCTAACTGACTAGCTAGCAGGCTGGCTAGCTAGCCCTACCTGGCTACTGGCTATAGTCATGCTAGCTAGTAGCAGCTAGTGGAAGTAAGTTAGTCCCTCGACCAGCAACAAGATGAAGCTGCCCGGCCAGAGGTACCTGCTGCAGAAAGGTGAGAATTCTACATTACTTTATGTCGCTAATTTAGCTAGATAGTCTGTCTGGCTGGTGCTTATTGACTGAGTAGGCTAATAATGAACTGCAGTTACTGTAAATGGTTACCTATCTGTCCCTTTGCATAGCTATTTCTTACACATTCAATACAACAATATCCAGTTAAATACAGTCAATGCTGATATTGTGTGTGTGTGTGTGTGGGATCAGAATGTACCGCAAAAGAAGGGCACAGTATGGCATCTGTCCTGAATTTGTAGAATGCAGGACAGTCTTGTGTTATGATGATTATGATCATTCCCTTTTGTATCGTGGTAAGTGTTACAGTATTAGTAGTGAACCGGTGTAGGAAGTTGTGGACACATCGTTGTGCTACTTTTACCTTTTGCACAGAGTGTTCAGGCAGGAGTATGGGGAACATAATGGGCCTGAGATGCTCAGTCCTAGAGAGGTAGGTTGAGGAGTATAATCTTAGGTGCGGCGAGATCTGCACCAAGATTGAGAAATCCTCTGGAGGAACCCCTCTCGTGGCTATCTGCTCCCCACTGATGAAGCGTGTCCATCAGACCAGACACAGTGGGGAGGTCTGCTTCATTGATTCCTCTGCGAACATGGACAGAGAGAACTGAGAGATTTTTTTTCTCCCTACCCACACCTGTGCTGGCGGTCTCCCCCTTGGGGTTATCCTGACTCAGTCTGAGGATGAGGCCACAATCCTCCTTGAGGGCCTTCAACTGTTGAAGGACATCCTAAGGGAGGATGCCTTTGCAGCGAGAGGTCAGGCTGATCCTCGCCTCATCATTACAGACGACTGCAAGGCAGAGAGGGGAGCATTAGGGAGGCCATTTCAAGGGGCCAAACTATAGCAGTATAATGAGGTGCAGTCTATTAATTTATGCTTTATTCTCATTAACTTTTGGATGATAAAAACAGGACTTGCTGATTAGTTTTAGTATTTTCTAATTAAAATTTGCCCTTGTTTGGGATACATTTTTCCTTATATTTTGAAACCAATATGTGATAGTGCAAGACATTGTTCAAGGACATATTTTACCCTAATTACAGGTACAAGAAATTCACGGCCTACTTTGATCGACTGTTCAGTCGTTGAGAGTGTTGGGCACTCAGCTATCGGGAGGAGCTGCCAACCTGAGGGAACAACACAAATAACTTTGTGGAGAAGGCAATGCGGGTCCTTAAGGATAAAATCCTCCAGAGGACGAATGTGATCAATCTCCCTGCCTTATTTGACCTGCTGACATTGCGCCTTGAGGCTTACTATGAGGCACGGGTGACTGACGTTGCCCTTGGCAGCTGGGAAATGTTCCAGCACTCACGTTTTCTGGCCCAAGAGAATATCGTCAACCCATCTGACATCGAGCAGGTAAAATAGTGATGAATACAGGTTTGTAATATTTAAAGAATCCATCATGTGGTCTTTTATTATTTGTTGTATCTTCTATTATAAGTTGTCTATCCTCGCTCTCCTCCAAATGTCTGTCAGGTGGGGGAGAAGCAGTACAGGGTGAAGGGCACCACACCAGGCCAGACCTATACTGTGGACATGCATTTGTCCAGTAGGGCACACAGGAGCTCCATGCAAGCACCAGGCTGCTGTAGTCCAGATATACAAATGCCTTTCCAGCAACTTCCTCCTGACAACACCAGAGATGAGGGCTGAGTTGCTGAAGACAACAGGAGGTAAAATAGTGGCTATTTTATTATTGTTTATGGTTAGACAATCATTTTCATGTGAATATTTTATGTACCAAAGCTGAGTGCTGAAGTTGATTAAATATCTCTTACAGCAGCAATACCTCTGGATTTTCTGCAGTCACTGAGACAGCCCAGTCAGTCACTAGATGGTGAGGACAGCCCAGTCAGTCACTAGATGGTGAGGGAGAACCGC